AAAGATTAAAGACTAATTAATTATTTAATTAATGAATTATAAATTAATATTTGTTTGCAGTAGAATAGTTGTGGCAGGGTTAAACCTGAGATATGAGGTCAAATTGCAATTGCACAAGGCGTGCCCTGTATAAAAGTTAAACTTCATGATGTTGTAAAAGTGCAAATATAATTACACTTTTGCGACGTTTTATTGCCTGCATACTGCAAAATTAAGCATTATGACTTTATTATGATGGTTTGGAGCCGTCAAAGTATGCAAACTTTAAATTTGCATTCGTCAATATTAATATTTCCATATTCATTGTCATGAATTTTAGTCTTTTACAACTTTTTGTTAGAGGTATTATTATTATTATAATTATTATTATTATTGTTATTGTTATTTCACTTTTTAAACGTCAATGTTGTGAACAAATTTTGCTATTTCGTTTGTAATGTATAGGGCAGGGTGGAGTACAGTCAAACTGTGGGTCGGTGTTTCAAAATATTTTTTTTTACTTATTAAGCTACAAGGTTAAAATTGATATATTTAAAAAATGAACATGTCACATATTAAAATTTGTCAAAAGAAGAAATACTTATTTTTGAAAAATGTTCAGCGTACTTTTTGAACTGTTTTTAAATCCTCCTTGTCACCATAATAGATAGAGATAGATAGAGATAGATAGATAGAGGTCTAATTGATGTTTTCAATGAGAAGACCTGCAAGTTTGACAAGGGACATATATATCATACTTCCCTATCTTAACTCTAAGGTCAAAATCATAGAAGGGAGGGGGTTAGAAATCCCCCCCTCTAAACTATATTGGAAAAAATAGCCCAATCGGGATAGGGTTAATTTAGTAAATAGGGTTAGGGTTATAACATAATAAGGAATACATCGTCGAATTTTGAAATACATTCTATGAATACATACAAAGGACGGAACTGAAAATTTACAACTAATTTTGGTCTTATATTTTAAAGGAATTGAGTCTTTCCCACAAAGTTGGATCTTCTTAGATATTATTAATTTATATAATTTTAGTTTCAAGATTTCCATTTCCTGTGTCCCAACGATACAGTGTTTGACCAACAGCACCTGGTTTGTACAAACTGGTTCGACGTTGACTGTCAACAATCTTTACAGGTTAGGGAAAAAATATAAAAAAAACATATTTTAAAATATGTTTTAAACATATTTTGATTTTTTTGAGAGAATTTTTAGCCAATATTAAGGATTTTAGTTTCGTTATTTCTGGGATAAAGGTCTTTTTTTCAAAGCAAATTAGTGACATTTTCTAAGGTCAAATCCAGTTTTCCCCTTGATTCTCGTGAATATAAAGCTAAAAATGAAATATAAAAAACCAAGAAAAGTAAAGATTCCGAAAAAAAAATCAATTCCATAATTTGCAGTACACTGACCGAAGATATAGTAGCGTTTAGTGGAGAGTGGATTAATATCACAAGGTGCAGTTGCATAAACGGATGATTTTGGCTATTTTTTTGATTTTTCAGTTTATCCAACATGATTTTGGATTTGAATCAGACTACCCTGACACTGTAGACTACTCTGATGAAGGGGACTATGAAGACTACGCTAACACAGACTACACAGATATTGGAATCCAGGAACACAACCGTTTTTTAGGCGTTAGCCGGCCATCTTTCTCCAGGTATAGTTGTATATATGATGTACCTGTACCTGTACCTGTACCTGTACCTGTACCTGTACCTGTACCTGTACCTGTACCTGTACCTGTACCTGTACCTGTACCTATACCTGTTAATTCTTTTAAGAATGGAAATTTTTCGTTCCTTAACAAATTCAAAATTAACGGTTTTTGCCGTTTGTCTGTCTATCTATATATCTGTCTGTCTATATATCTTTCTATCTATTTAACTATCTAAATATTTTTCGATCTATTCATATATTTATCAATATATCTATCTATCTGTCTATCTATCTATCTATGCAGTGGACTGCAGAATGATGGTAGAGGGCATGACAGCAGTCCCGACAACGAATATGATTATGAAGAGGTTGGAAAACACATTAATTATAATTTAACTTTAGTGATTACTACTCGACATAGTACGTGAACATATAGTATAGTTTCTCCGAGCCACCGTTTAAACCTTTATCTCAGCAACAAGTAAAAAAATAACAAATTTTCAGCGATAAAGCACACGGATATCTCATCCTTGATCAGACATGGGGTGTCCTGCTTCGTACAGGGTTAACAACAAAGAATGAACCTTTTTAAACGACTGTACGGAATTTATTTTCTCACATGCTTGCTCCCCCGCAAGTAGAAAATGGTTCTTTTCTTAAATGCTTTAGTCCTGGCAAAATTCTAAAATTAACCTTCGTCAAACTTTAAGAGTTTTAGTCTAACCCTTTGTTTAGTAAGAGAGGAACGTCTAGAGTTCTTTTTATTGTTTATTTTTCACTTTTTTATTTTCAGAAAATCAAATGAATTTTATAATTTCAACTAATATATTTTTCCATGATATGTTAATTTTTAACCGAACTAATGACGACCTTTCCCTGTCTGAATAACCTAGCTACGGAAAAGTAATTATTATTCTTCATGAACACCTTTATACTTTCATAAGATAAGATAAGATAAATTCTCACCCTGATCTCTAATAGTTCTCCTTAAATCTATTTAATTGAAACGTTTTGTTATCATTATTAAAATTAGGTGGAAAAAATAATCAAAACAGCCAAGAGCTATTTTCCATCTAATTGCTTTATACAGTACAGTGTTAATATAATCATCAATTTGTAATTGCAAACTCGTTCTGTACACAGATACATGTATTTTAGCAATAAACTTTATCTTATCTTATCTTATCTTATCTTCATCTGCGAGGGGGGGGGGGAAAGAAAGGGGGGGCAATGAGAAGAATAGAGGGAAAAATAAAGAATTATTTCGGGGGGACATTTTAGTTCCAAAACAGCATTTACTGAAAGGCATTTATGACCCATTTCTAACACTCAGTATTAAAAATTAGCCAAATCGCGTTTTTGAATTAAGTGATTGAGTTTTTACCACAAACTCAAGTTTTCTAATACCTATATTTTTTAACCTGATGGTGTAAACCTTAGATTTTTCAAACTTATAATATTTAATCTAACATGATTCATAGTTTAAAAATGTTTAAGGTTTATAACATTGACATTGACATTGGACTGAAAAGATATAAGGATTAGGAGTTTGTGGCAAATACTCAATCATTTTCCGTGGATTTTGACTCATGTAATATATGTTAATACAAGAATTCACTTAAATGCACATCATGTTTAATAAATAAAAAAAGTTGTAAAATCATTTGTTAAAGGGACTGTGTGCGTAATATAAAGTGAGCGTCCATGCAAATATGTCAACGCCCGGTTCACAACGGTATAACCCTTAAAGCATGTCGGAAAAAGTATAAATTTTATAATTTGGAAAACGGATTACTTTTAATTTTATTTTCTCTACACAAGTGACTTATTTGTACTGCCAACAAAACGGAGATATCAGAATCAATCACATTAATACCTAGAAAATCTTTTCTATTCTAGGATAAGGATGCAGCACCGAGACGACCTCTACCTCCTCCGGGGGATTTAAGAGAAGGGGCGGGACTAATAAATCCACCCATTACTACCACCCCTATCCCTGCAGGATTCACAACCACTAGGAGATCATTTCAAACTGGTCCTAGGTACGATATGTTTATTAAAGAATTGTATTCTTGCCTTAAACTTTTAGATCCTTATATCCTCTGCAACCTGGTGGCATGAATATTTCATGAATTATTCTAGATCCAATAGCAAAAGTTTGAAATAATAAAGGTTCATACCATCAGGTTGCAAAGATATAGGGAGCATAAAATTAGAGTTTGTAATTTGAGCATAATTTTCATGTGGCCCTCATGAAAAGATGACAATGTCCGATTTACAACGGTACCTTGAACCCTTTATCTGATCAATATTGTAGATCGACATCTTTGCGCGCATGGAGGGTCACTTGAAATCACGCTTACAGTCCCATTTAATTTTTTTTAATGATTAATTTACTCTAGGGTTAAATCTAATATCCGTCAGCAATTAAAGAACAAGGGAGGAAGGACGGAGGTTCCAGGTCCTGTTCCTAGTTCACAGTTTCAGGATAGATTCATAGGAACTCCAGGGTCTCCAGAGGTACAGGAAGCAGGGTTAAGGGGAGATGAGGAGAATGATGTAGATACTACTGAGTCTCCTGTGAATACCAATGTTGGTGTGAACCTGGAGACAAATGAGGATCTCGTGAACCCCTTTGACAGCCCGCCATTTACGAGTGCAGACGGAAAAACGCCTAGAGTTAAATCCAACATAAATAATCTGCTGGTGCAGGCTGGGAAGAGCTCCGATAAACCCAAGAAACAAGGGAGCAAGAAGGTTGAGTTGGATCGTTCCCAGCTTAATAAAATTGACTTCGTAGAACCTCAAAATGATGAAGACACAACAGAGATACCGTTCCTTGGTCCGGATGTGAAGCCGGATGGACGAGCTCCCCGTGTCAAAGCTAATATATTAGCTAAAGAGCGAGATCTGAAGAAGGAGACAGATAATGGTTCAACCATACCATTTATCCCAACCCGGAGACCGTTTTCATTCCTTCCTACAATCCAGAACAATGCTTTCATCCCAGAGGATGGATTAACTCCAGTTCCTGATACAGGGCTCAACATACTTCTAACTACACCAAACCCTGTGACCTTCCCTCCTGCAACCCAGCCTTCCAGTCCCCGCCCATCCCCTTCATTTAACCTGGGACCCCCTCCTCAACCCAAGATACCTCTCTCCATCCTTAGTCGTCTTCCTCCTCCTGCTAATAGACCTAAGCCCTTCCCACCCAGGATTGAACCTCGTCCTACTCCAAGTCCTGTCGATGTATCTCCTGTTGAGTTTACTCCAGTACCTTTCAGAGACTTGGAAGATCCTTTTCATCCTTCCTTTGATAAACCTCAAAAACCATTTAATCCTTTGCAATCCTCTTTCAATCCTGCGCAATCCTTTTTCAGTAATCCTGAACAACCAGCCTTTAGTCCTGAACAGCCCTCAATCAGTCCTGAACAGCCCTCAATCAGTCCTGAACAGCCCTCATTCAGTCCTGAACAGCCCTCATTCAGTCCTGAGCAACCTTCATTCCGTCCTGAACAGCCCTCATTCAATCCTGAACAACCTTCATTCCGTCCTGAACAACCATCATTCCGTCCTAACCAACCATCATTCCGCCCTGAGCAACCTTCATTCAGTCCTGAACTACAACCGTTCCGTTCTGAACAACCATCATTCCGTCCTAACCAACCATCATTCCGCCCTGAGCAACCTTCATTCAGTCCTAAACTACAACCATTCCGTCCTGAACAACCATCATTCAGTCCTGAACAACAACCTTTTAATGATGAACAACCATTATTACGCCCTGAACAGAGACCATTCAATGCTGAACAGCCATCTTTTAATTCTGAACAGCCATCTAAAAATGAAAAGGAAAACAACCTTGTTGGTCCCGTACTTCGTGGTAAAATATCAGGCCGGAGAAATAGATTTGGTTCCAGACCTAGAGTGAAAGCTAACGAGCTGGCTAAACATAACAACCAAAGAAACCGTTTCCGTGAATCTAGTCGGAATGAAAACCGAGGACCTCTTGTCAATGATATTCCTCAGTTTGATGATGATGATGATGAGCCTTTTACGCAGAATCCAGAAGTTTTTGAAACAACCTCAAATCCTCCGAGGTCAAACTTTAAATTTGTATCCCCAACTATAAACCCTGGTATAACCAGAAACCGAGACTGTCTCAATCCGTTTAAATGTCCACCTAAAACGTTTGCCGGTGGAAGAAAACCCCGCGTAAAGTCTAACATTAAAGCGCGAAATCTGAACTACTGGAATCCGCCAAAGTCCCGGGTGAAGAAAAGACGCAAACCGGATAGAATCAACCCAATTCTACGAGCTAATATCCTGGAACGAAGGAGAGGAAGGAAGCAACACATCAATGATAAGTTCAATGCTATAGAGAACAGGATAGAAGATGAACCCATCCCGGCTACAACAATAGATCCTTTAACTAGTCTCAAACGCTTAGGAATGCCTTTAATAATTATCAAATGTTGCAGATCCTTAGACTCATTGTTAACTTTTACATCTTTTAACTATCATCAATTTTTGGCATATTTAGTTGAAGATAAAGAGATAAAGCATCCTACGCCTGCTAAGACATTCCAGAACCAACGAATTAACTCTGACGGGAAATTGAGAAATAGGTTCAGCTCCAAGGAAAAGACAAGATTTAGAGAGAAATTTAATCTAAGGAATATTTTTGTTATACAATTATTATCCGTCATTAATTTGAAGTTCTTTGAATTTAACGAAACCATCAAGAATAGTGTATTTATTGGGTTACCAAGAGATACAAAGATACAAAGATCGGTTCATATGGTTCCTTATCCGGGTATACTATATACCACAGTACTGGCGGGGTGGGGATTAATTGTTCACAGATTCAGGATATCCTTATATATCCTTATTAAGACAGGGGGGGGGGTAAACAAATATAGTGGTGACTGAGGGGGGGAGGGATGAACAAATATAGTGGTGAGAGGGGGAGGGAAGAACAAATATAGTGGGAGTGGGGAGGATGAACAAATATAATTGTGAAGGGGGGATGGATGAGCAAATATAGTGGTGAGGGGGGAGGGATGAAAAAATATAGTGGTGGAGGGAATGAACAATGAAGGGGGGGGGTTAGAACACTTTAAGACCTAGGAAGTTATACAATCAATCTTGAAGGGTTTATAAGTGTGTAAACCTAATATTTAAGGTACCTCCCATTTATTGAGTGGCATGTCCGATTTACAACGGTAACCCTAAAAGCTTGGTCTAATTAATTACATATGAATTAGATATCCATGTTTATAATTACTAAAACTGATATTTTCGATTCTGTGTTTTTTACAAAAGTGACATGCTCATTTCTACTGAAAGAAATGGAAAACAATTGAGTAATTATCAGAATTAAACACTTTTTAAGCAAGAAAAAAACAAAGATATTTTTTTACATTATTGATCAAATAATGGTTTTAAGGGAACTTTACTTTTTATAAGAATAATCATTTAAATTACACCGACAGTTCCATTAAATTACACCGACAGTCCCTTTTGAATTTCACCGACAGTCCCTTTAAATTACACCAACATCCATTTAAATTACACAGACAGTCCCTTTAAATTACACCGACAGTCCCTTTTGAATTTCACCGACAGTCCCTTTAAATTACACCAACATCCATTTAAATTACACCGACAGTCCCTTTAAATTACACCGACAGTCCCTTTTGAATTTCACCGACAGTCCCTTTAAATTACACCAACAGTCCATTTAAATTACACCGACAGTCCATTTAAATTTCACCGACATTCCTTTTAAATAACAACGACAGTCCATTTAAATTTCACGGACAGTCCCTTTAAATTTTACCGACAGTCCCTTTAAATTACACCGACAGTCCATTCAAATTACAACGACAGTCCCTTCAAATTTCACCGACAATCCAGTCCTTTTAAATTTCACGGACAGTCCCTTGAAATTTTACCGACAGTCCATTTAAATTTCACCGACAGTCCATTTAAATTTCACCGAAAGTCACTTTAAATTACACCGACAGTCCCTTTAAATTTCACCGACGTTCCCTTTAAATAACAACGACAGTCCCTTTAAATTACACAGACAGTCCCTTTAAATTACACCGTTAGTCCCTTTAAATTTCACCGTCAGTCCCTTGAAATTACACCAAAAGTCCCTTTAAATTACACCGACCATACCTTTAAAAAACAACGACAGTCCATTTAAATTTCACGGACAGTCCATTTAAATTTCACCGACAGTCCATATAAATTACACCGACAGTCCATTTAAATTTCACCGACAGTCCCTTTCAATTACACCGGCAGTCCCTTTCAATTACACCGGCAGTCCCTTACAATTAAAGTCAATGAATGTTTAAAGAATAAAAACGAATGAAAGGAGAGCCAAAGTAAATTATGAAATTGAAATAACAAAATAATTTAGAAATCCCGATTTTGAACCCCGTTCAACTCCCTTCCCTACTCCTCCTTTTGTAGAACTAACTACTCCTACTCCTCCTATTATAAAACTTACTACTCCTAATCCTCCTATTATAGAACTAACTACTCCTAATCCTCCTATTATAGAGCTAACTACTCCTACTCCTACAACACAACCTAGCACTACTCCTAAATCAACCCAGCCACCCAAAACAACTCCATCTGATCTGACAGAGACTCCAATATCTATATTTGTAACTCCACCGACAACTCCTGTTATGAGATTAGCAGCTGATCAAACTACTTCACTTCCCCAGGCATAATATTATTTAAACTAAGCATCAAAAGAAATTATTACTTGCCTCAAACTCAATTTTGCTTTCTCCCATATCTTTACAACCTGATGGTGTGGACCTTTTATAGTCTTTTGTTTTAAAATGTCTTCAACATCAGGTTGCAAAGATATACAGATTATTTAATTATAGTTTGCAGAGAGTAATTAGTTACTTTGAAAATATTCTAACTTCTTTAAAACTTTGAAATAATTACACATCAAACTGTTTTGATTAAAGATTGCACGAGAGTTCCAGGTTCCATCTTTTCTCCCAACTAAAAGTCCTACCCAGAGCGTTGAGGACTTGTTTCTGCCGACTACAAACCCAACCCTGAGCTCACCCCAGACCCTGTTTACAATACCTGATGAAACTCATCTGTTTGTTACCAACCCTAGAGCTCTTGGAGATACTGCTTCCAGGTACTGATCTTGTGACCCTCAAATTTTACAGTGGCACGTCATATTCACGACGGGGATGAATCATTAATGATTACACGTCATTTTCACGCTTGTATATAAATATATAAAAAGTGGAAATTGAAATAGCATCTGCAACAGTTCCATTATGGAAATTAAATCACAAAAAAAAATATTAATCCTCATGTATAAAACTGACCAAATTGCGGATGTTTATTTGCATATTCCTTGCACGGAAAAAATATATTTACAGTATTATAATGGCTCTTTTGATACTCATTTATTGATACACTTTAAATTTTGGAATTTTGGATCATATAAAGTATTAAATCACCATAGATTTGGTTCACCCCTGTTATCAAGTAAAAAGTCACAACGTTATGAAATTTCTCAACGCATATCATATGTAAAGATACTGAACGTGTAATTTTAAATAACCCTTCCTGCAAAGATGGCAATGCTCGAATCACTACGGTACCCTTAAAACCATCTGATCAAAATGAGTAAGATGTCGTCGTTTTTCCAGGTTTAATAGGTTTTAAGGGAACAGTCTCTTTAATAACGCTCTCTTCCTATCTCCTATTCTGATATTATACAGGGTGTCCCACGAAACATGACAGTTGATAAATAGTTTTGAATGTCGTCTTCCATACACTGTATTAGATATTAAAGGCTGTTTGCAGTTTATTTCGTTTAAAAAATCTTTTGCTCTAGTATATTTTACTTTGAAATTAATGTTACTATAATATGACTCCTAAATAATATTTTTATTATTGTAATTTGCAATTTTTTTTGCAGATTCTAAAAGTAGAGCACAAGAGCTTTCTAATGATGTATCATTTGTCATATTTGGACATAAAACATGGGATTTAGAGGGGGGGGGCGTCAAATTGATCCCCCCCCCAGCATATCCTGGTTTTCAAGTACCCCAGCAGGGATAGGGTTAAAGGCAAGTTCTTTACAGGGTGGCCCACATAGAATTTTCATTTTGATAACACCACTATAGTTTCAGTATAAGTAAATATTTACATTTACTGATAGCGCCGATATAAGGATTTATCTCTAATTGGATAATGAGATAGATAGAAAGATAGATGTTACCACCATACTATTTTTTATTGGTTCAGAATAGACAACAAACACATCACTGAACCCTGATTGGATCAGGCGCTAATGGGCTCGGCATACAAGATTGGCGCTTTGCTTGTTAAACTTAGTTTTAGATCGCTAGGGTTAACTAATTGTGTTTCAGGTTTCCTGCCCCCCAGGGAACCGAAGGAGGAAGAACACCTAGGGTTAAAAACAACATTGCTGCTCTTCTCCAGGAAAAACACAAATGATAAAAATTCAAAAAAAAATATTGAAAAAAATGAAATCACATAAAACGTTAATGATATTTAAGCCACCAAGGACACTCAAATTTACTTAAGGTGGCCTCGTAAGAGTTTGAATATTTTTACGTCCGATGCGTGTAAAATCGTGCACTGATAAAAAATTAGGGAGTTATCCTTATATATGCCTTTATTTTTTATTCGAAAAAGGCATACAGGGGTGTCCCGCGAAACATGACAGTTTTGAATATCTTTTTCCATATACTGTATTAGATACACTAAAATATATTTTACTTTGAAATCAATTTTAAAATTTTTTAATTATGGAAGAAGACATTTTAAACTTTTCACCAACTATCATGTTTCGTGGGACACCCTGTACAATGTACATGCAGGGTAACATTGCGTTTATATGGGAGTGTTACGCTTTTAGAAATTATGTCGTGAGTCCCTTTATGTTAAAAAATTACAAGACAATTATTGTTTACAATATCATTTCTTACAGAATTCAAGGCATCCGATTTTTTTAATTGTCATTGCGTGATATTGAATTGATTTTTCTTCAAAACAACAATATTTTTGATTTTTAAATTTCTGGAAAAAAATACACCTTTCCGACTACAAGAGATGGATTTTAACATGATATTTCTCACTCAAGATCCACTCGGGGTAGAATTTAAACTGTATGGTGAAGAACCCAAGGTTAGGGTTCAGCTCCGTGGGTTGGATAATTGTTCTGGGTACATTACACTCCTTTAGTCCTGGTTCATCTTCACACGTACGCTTTTTCTCAAATAAGTTCCAAGCTTTGAAATTATTTTACTTTCAGAATCATTTTTAAAGAAGGTTTATCTGATTCACAATGGTATTATTATACCTTTATCCGATAAATAATGTGGAAAATATCTTTTTTTTTCATCTTGAAAAGTCGTTTAATTCTGACAATTTTCTCCCTTGTTTCCAAAGCAGAAATGGGCGAGGGGATATGTACAGAGTAACTAAAAAAATAATTGTTAAGAGAAAATCACGCATTCTTGACGAGAAAAATCTGTTGATCGTATTATTGTAAACTGGATATGCCACTCCAAACTTCTCTTAATTCCTGTTATATTTATTTTTATTCTTATTTTAAATGAATAAGTTTTTATCATTATGTTGTTTACAGAATAAACCTCATGTAAGCCAAGACAGCTTTTCTGAGCTAAACATGATAGGTAAACATTTTAATTTTAATAATTTAATTTTTACCTTCTTGATAACCCCACCCCTATCATCACCCACTCCCTCCCAATTCTGCCCCCTTTTTTACCACTTTTTATTTTCTAACGTTTTCTTCTTTTGAAATGGTATCAACAAAAGTAGAAAAAACTATCATATTAAATTGAGGAAAAGACGTAAATAATAAAAAATTTTATTTTACTTTGATTAAGGAATAAACAAAAGATCGTATAGAGTAAGAACAGTAAGAAACTATATAAAAGTAGAACAAATTTAGAGCAAAGTATAATAAAAGAATAAATTAAATCTGATAAAAATTATGAAATAAGTTAAGAAACAAAGAAAAGAAAAATGAAAGAGGAGTTTAAAATCACGTAGAAGAGATAATCCTTTACAAATATTTTGATACCAAATTGTGAAGTCATGCTTATACAATTTACATCGTGGTGTACAATATATCATAGGAGCCTTCCTTTTGGAGTGGAGTAAGGTTGTACCAGAGTAATATTAAATGCTCTGTACTGTAATTAGTGGACCCCGAGAAACCTAGAGCAGTAAGGTTGTACCAAGAGTAATGTTAAATGCTCTGTACTGTTTAATGGATCTTGAAAAACCTAGAGCAGCAAGATTGTACCAAGAGTAGTTAAATGATCTGTACTCTTTAATGGACCTAGAGAAACCTAGAGAAGTATGGTTGTACCTAGAGTAATATTAAATGATTACTACTGTTTAGTGGACCCGGAGAAACCTAGATCAGTTCTCAAGATTAAACCAGACGGAAGGAGTCCCAGAGTCAAATCTAATATTAGGTAGGAAATGATAAAAAATTTAAATCAGCTTAACCCCCCCCCCCCCCATTGCATATTGTATTAATAATGAAAATAATCAAACAAAGTATTTCCGAACCCCTTTTTTGTTAAAATATGCAAAAATAAACATTAAACAGAATACGTTTTTATTAGAATTTCCTGTTCACAAAAAATAGACAATATCCAACTAAATATAAAAAATCCATCATTTCAAAAAATATAGTAACATCATCTAAATTTTCATATCTTTGAAAACCGATGCCGTGGACAGTTGATAGCTCAAACTATAAATTTAGTTATATTTAGAAACAAAATTTGAAATATTAAACGTTTAAATCCAGGTTTAAAATATGTAATAATTAGAAAATCAAGGTCAATGCAAGTACAAACAAAAACCAAAGATTATTGGTTTTGGTACAAATGTTTGCATTTAGCCTAGGTTGGTTGCTATTGCCGTAGATTAAGTAGAAAAGGTTGATATATCATAGATTTGAAAAGATATCGGAATTCTAGAGGTTCAGACACATATTCAGTTTTTTTAAAAATAAAGCATCTACTAGGAAGTAATGGTTAAATTTAAAGATTAGCATTTTGAGTAGGTTGCTATTGCCGTAGATTAATTAGCAAAAGCTTGATATTTCATAGATCTGAAAAAAGGAATTTTGGAGGTTTAGGCAAGTATTTTTTAACAACAATTCTATAAAGTAATAGTTTAATATGCAATGATTTGCATTTAGCCTAAGTTGGTTTCCATCGCCATAGATTAAGTAGGCATTGAGACTAAGGCCATATAAAGTCATTTAAACTAAAAATCTAAAATGTAACGGTTTGATGTAAAGATTAGTATTTAGCTTAGGTTGGTTGTCATTGCCATATAGATTAAGTAGCAATAGCTTGAAATATCATAGATTTGGAATGATATCGGAACTTTAGAGGTTTAGGCAAATATTCAGATTTTAAAAAATAGTAATGGGTTATTGCAAAGATTTGCATAAACCCCATGGGCTTGTTGCCAAAATTGTTTAGAGCTAATGAAAAAACATGATCAATGTGCAGGACGTGACGAATTTTTGAAAGCTCATGAATAAACATGATGAATGTGCAGGACGGGACGAATTTTTTAAAGCTCATGAATAAACATGATCAATGTACAGGACGGGACGAATTGTTTAGAGCTCATGAATAAACATGATCAATGTGCAGGACGGGACGAATTGTTTAAAGCTCATGAATAAACATGATGAATGTACAGGACGGGACGAATTTTTTAAAGCTCATGCATTAACATGATCAATGTGCAGGACGGGACGAATTGTTTAGAGCTCATGAATAAACATGATCAATGTGCAGGACGGGACGAATTGTTTATATCTCATGAATAAACATGATCAATATGCAGGACGGGACGACTTGTTTAGATCTCATGAATAAACATGATCAATGTGCAGGACAGGACGAATTGTTTAGAGCTAATGAAAAAACATGATCAATGTGCAGGACGGGACGAATTGTTTAAAGCTCATGAATAAACATGATCAATGTGCAGGACAGGACGAATTGTTTAAAGCTCATGAATAAACATGATCAATGTGCAGGACTGGACAAATTGTTTAAAGCTCATTAATAAACATGATCAATGTGCAGGACGGGACGAATTATTTAAAGCTCATGAATAAACATGATCAATAAGCAGGACGGGACGAATTGTTTAAAGCTCATGAATAAACATGATGAATGTGCAGGACGGGACGAATTTTTTAAAGCTCATGAATAAACATGATCAATGTACAGGACGGGAAGAATTGTTTAGAGCTCATGAATAAGCATGATCAATGTACAGGACGGGAAGAATTGTCAAAGCTCATGAATAAACATGAACAATGTACAGGACGGGACGAATTTTTTAGAGCTCATGAATAAACATGATTAATGTACAGGACGGGACGAATTGTTTAAAGCTCATGCATTAACATGATCAATGTGCAGGACGGGACGAAAGTTTGACGGGACGGAGAAAGTAAATGGGACGGAAGAGACGGGACGAGAGGTTCACGGTAGATCTTTAGACCTGGAGGACTCATTCTCAGAAAATTTGATCAAGGTAAATAACTACATTGAGAAACATAAATCTGTAGAATAGGAACACGACATTAAACCAATAGTTAAATTAGTTTTACATGGTAAATTATTAATTCACTTATTAAGTTAAATGAGTTGCATAATGTATGTATCACATGTTTATTCGATTATTTAAAGTCATAACTTTAGAATATTAGTCTTCCATTCATACCAGAGTTTTATGGTTTTCATGTTATGTTGCGGAGTATTATCCTTTCTGGGATACTTTTCAAACCAATTTAATTAAAACGGTCTGTAAACATACTTTCACATGACCTTCCATAAAGGGGCATTTCCGTGTCAAATTCACAACAGTACCCTTTATCTAAGAGTCAATAAGGATCGAAGGTTTCATCGTTTATCTTTTGAAAAGTGTTGAATTCTGACAATTTCCATTTTGAAATTCTTAATGTAGAAACCACATCATCATTTTTGATTAGACCAAGGTTTAAAGGGAATGATTGTAAATCGGGCATGCCACCCTATAAATTCATTTTAAAGTATGCTTACACACGCACATCTGCCCCTTTGGTAAAAGTAAATTGAACCTATATGAAGCATAAAGTCTAACCGCGTCAACCTTGTTGCACCTGCAGCTAGTCCTGTCCATAGAGCTATGTACAGTACAAACTGGGACCGGAAAGGTGACCCGGCTCGGAAATTCAAATGTACTCCGGCTGCCCGTGTACAGTTCATTTAAATAAAAGTTTAATGTCATAAAAATCTCATTGTTTGATTTATTGCTGCATGAATACCTTTTTTTTATATATATATTAAGAGATTTAAAGTTAGAAAAAAAGAATAACTCTATCATTTTTTCTCAGACACAAAATTGAAGGGATGTAAATCAGTAAATGGTGGGTCACTTAAAATCACGCTAACTGTCCCTTTCAGGATGGATGAGGAGAATGATCAGTTAAAAACTTTGATTCTGATCTTACCCAACCTTCGTCTTATCTTGTATTTAGAGACTAATATCGTCGGTACAGATCGTAGAGAATCTATTTCCGTGTTTGGAACAGTGTACCTACGTGACCATGTTAACATTAACCTATGAGCCCGTTCTTTCCCTAATAACGCATGAACAGAGCCCGTCCTGAAAACGTACTTTAAAGGACGATAGTTTGACCGCTAGATGTCTCACGCTAAATTTCTATATGATATATAGATCTTTCTTATGAACACAATCGGAAACGTCACTGATCGACCATTGTAATTGTTAGAGAAATAACGGGCTTTTTGGCGAAAACTCTACAGTCATGGATAAACAGGGTTACCAACAAGGGATAGAACTGGTAAAGACCATCTAATACTCGATCTTTTATGACGATCTTAAGGTTAAATTAAGTCTTCTGCCTTTCATATAGTATAAATTGATAGCTTTTTAAAAGATTTAAAAAAGAAAGAAACAAGTTTACAGTTGCAGGGAATCATGAATATAAGGAGACAGTCAGAATAAATTAAATTATATCTAGTGTACAGACTACAGACATATGTTTTTGCGCATTTTTGTGCATATTGTTGCGACTTTTTAAATTCAACTAATTTGTATTTGTTTGAGGACTATGACTACATGGAGCCGGATGTAAAGCCTGATGGTCGTGTGCCAAGGAACATAATGAAGTTTTTATTCAAAATTTTCATTCTTCCATACTTGTATACTTTCAACCTATATCCATATTCACAATTTATATATCATGAAGGCATGATCGTTGTCCAAACTTTAAAACCTAGTCGTCTTCGCATTTATCAATACAATGAAGACGACTTTTGATTTCAATTAGGTTTATATCAAGCTTTTAAACAGCATTGATACACATAAACAAGAGAAGCTGACAATTAAAATAGCTTATCTTTAACTACGTGTCAAATTTCAATTAAAGAAAAAACCTGCTAATAATTGAATTTAAATTTAAAACTCGTCTTCATTGTATTGATATAATAGCAGACCATGCCGTTTTGAAATCTTTTTATCTCTTAAACACTTTAATACATTTAAACAAAAAATAAAAACACATTATTTTTAAAACTTTTTTATTTGTTCCGTTTTCTGTTTAAAAAAGCTATCTGAGATCGAATTTAATGTTTTTGCGGGGTCGTTGAACTACCTACAACAGCCGCGCGGTTCAAATCCTTCTAGAAACTTAACCTTTCAATTTGTGGTTCAAATTTGAACCGGCAGTAGGTAGTTGATTAATTCAGTTCCTTCTTTTTTTAAATATTGAACATTTTTGGATTATATTAGAACATATGTTTAAAGAATGTTTTAACATTCAATTTATAGATCATCGTTATCTAAAATATCCTACATCTTGAACTAACGTAACATTTTTAAATGTTTTTTTTTTGTCAAACTTGTTAAACGTGTTTTAAAACTTCAATTGTAGAGTAAAATCCAACATCAAAGCAAAAGTTTCAATGATCGGAAGTTCTGGTTTACCCAATCTACAGCAAAAACTACCCAAACACGAACCAACTGGAAACAATCTGAGGACGGAGGAACAATCTTTGCAAAATACTTCCGCATCGGACTCCTCAAGTTCTAACAACGACAAATTTAGGAATATATTGACATAAATCATTTTATTAGTGTCTCTTGTCATCTTTAAAGAGTGCACGTTGTAAACACCTTTATTTATGTTTACGATAACTTTTTATGTTCCGTTGGGGTTTCTGGGAATTCTGCCTAACATGCAAAATGTATTTTGTTTTATTATCATACATTGGGGATATTTAGAGGATAAGCTTTTACTATTAACCTTAGACCTTTCGTTATGAAGCTCATCCACACCTCTTAGCTCACACCTACATATAACACTCCCATTAATAATACTCCTACACTTCTATTATAAGTACTCCTACACTCCTACATATAGTACTCCTACACTCCTGATAATAGTAATCCTACACTTCTATTAATAGTTCTCCTACACTCCTATTAATAGTACTCCTACACTCATATTAATAGTACTCCTACACTCCTATTAATAGTACTACTACACTCCTATTAATAGCACTCCTACACTCCTATTAATAGTACTCCTACACTCCTATTAATAGTACTCCTACACTCATATTAATAGTACTCCTACACTCCTATTAATAGTACCACTCCTATTAAAAGTACTCCTACACTTCTATTAATAGTACTCCTACACTCCTATAAACAGTAGTCCTACACTCCTGCATATAGTACTTCTACACTCCTAACTCATATAAATAGTACTCCTACACTTCTATTAATATATATACTCTTACACTCCTATTAATTGCACTCCTACACTCCTATTAATAGCACTCCTACACTCCTATTAATAGCACTCCTACACTCCTATTAAAAGTACTTCTACACTCCTATTAATAGTACTCATACACTCCTATTAGTAGCACTCATAAAGACCTATAAATAGTACTCCTACACTCATATGAATAGTACTCCTACACTTCTATTAATATTTATACTCTTACACTCCTATTAATAGCACTCCTACACTCCTATTAATAGCACTCCTACACTCCTATTAATAGTACTCATACACTCCTATTAATAGCACTCATACACTCCTTTTAATAGCACTCCTACGCTCCTATAAAAAGTACTCCTAGTTATCTAAATAAAGCACTTTTAGACTCCTATATTTTAACACTCTTTCACTTCAACAGTTAGTTACACATGTTTTATATTACTAGGGTGTCCCCCCCTTTACAATTTTCAACCCCGTTAGGCGTTTTCAAGGCATTTTTGGGTTTTGCGGGTTTAAACTATAACTCCTCTGCGAATCGTTTGCTTGGTTATAATCACTGAAACATTCGACAGCGTTATTCAGAAAACTCTGGAGCGTAAAGTCGACTCTTAGACTCAAATTATGACATTAAATAGCCCACTGCACATGAGGCATTGAAGTTGCGCAGTGTAAACAAACCCATTTTGCACTTAATAAGTGATTTAATATCTAACTAAAGAAAAACGTTTTGCTTCGGAACAACATTAAATGACTTCAGTATTGCTTTAATGTCGTCTTTTTTACTTCAGTTTTCTGGTTATCACCGTATATTCTTGTTATCATCCTCCTTACACCAGTTTATATAGACTCATAGTAATTTGTCAATTTGTCAATTTGTCAATTTGTCAATATAAGCATGTTGAACAGGAACCAAAACACCATCACTACGTTTAGGTAAGATTTATCATCGTTCATGCAAGGGATATATATATATATAACAAGAGGTGAAGCAAGGGGGGCCGGGGATTATGACTTTTAAAAATGGCGTTGATATTATTGGAAGGGTGACATAGAATTAGCGGGAGTGGGGAAGGGGGTGGGATACACCAAGGAAGGGGTTGCGGACTGAAAGCTGATATATAATACCTAACAAAAGAGTCAAAGGGGAGGAGGGATAAACAAATAGGGAAAATATATATACATAGCACCCTAGTATGATTAGTAGTAATACTGTCCATTTGATATCGCCGCTAAATTTCTTTATTTTTCTCCTATTGGTGGATTTTTTTAAAGATAGATAGATAGAATGATGATCGATAGATAGCACTGAAGACACATTGAAACCTAATTAGATAATCATTTTTAAAAAAATTAGTATGTTCCTCTATTATCATCGTTGTTTTATAATTTAATGTTAATTATTTTTTTATTTATAAAAATGGGGGATTTAGTAGGATAAACTATAAAGTCATTAATCTCGACAAAAATCTGTATTTTTATATTTTACTGAATCTTGTTCAAAGCTATTTATTCTTTACTTTATATGACAACAAACCAGTTACAGCGTTACCCGTAAAAGATGAGACTATGATGATGAACTAAAACTCGTTTAAAAAAGCAATCTATTGTGCTTGAATTCCTGCTGCACAGTTTTATGGTACTAGGTGTATGTATGTATAGGTGTATGTATGTATGTATGTATGTATGGGTGTAAGGATGTATGTATGTATGTATGGCATTTTTTATCGAGCTTAAACATGGCATTTTGATGATGTACATTACAATGGAGATTTTTCTCTCAATTAGATTTTTGATTTAGAGAAAATTATTTTTGACCCCAGAAAAATAATATTATATTTTATCAAAATTATATTAATGAGATTGTGGCTTAAACTAGTATCAAATTTGTTATACTTGCCATTTCTTTATTAGATTTGATTGATTGGGCTGAGTACACAATATAATGATGGAATCGGGGGGGAAGGGAGGAAGGGGAGGGAAAGGGGGACGTTAACTTCAAAAATATTCCTGTGACTTTTTCAGCTTCTTCCTAAAAAATACTCCCCAGTTCCAGAACCTAATCATCCCCCTTTCACCCCCCCCCCCCCTTCAATGGTTCCCATGCATTCTTTGTATAGCTTCCTCTAGTGTAGAATTAGGTGGATAAGAAGTATTGGGTTGCTTCCTATATATGGTCGGATTAAATTCATCATTCATCCATTCATCCTTTTAGCTCTACAGTCATCGGTCTTTCATCTATTCATCCTTATCTAATTCATCCATTACTTATTTTTTTTATTTTTATGAAATTCTTTTGGTTATTCAATTTTCATTCATTTTCATTCATCTGTTTTTATTCATGTATCTTTTACATTTATATTTATTTATTACATATACATCATTTATCCAATTTATAATTATCATTTATTCTTTAATAAGGTATTGAATATGTATTTATCATTATATGTACTTTATTTATTTTTCATTTATCATGTATTCATAACGTATTTATTATAAAACTATATTCATTTTTTCATGTTATCAACTATTCATCATATTCATCAATTTATCATTATCTTTTCAATAATCTATCTTCTTAACCCCATAATTTATTATGTATTAGCCATAAGTGTTCGTTTCTCATTATCAGAATAGGATACATTAATTCATAACGTATTACTCTTAATTTTCTTATTCTCCATTGATTAAAAAATTGAACAATTTATTTTACATTGAAATAATTTATCAAACCATCCTTTCAACCCATTTTTTTCAATTACTTCAAGGCCATCTTCTGAATCCAATACTTTGTGTTTCAGACCGGAGGTAGATATTGAGAACCTGCCGGAGCCAACACCCTCCGTTCTATCCGTCCCTCTTCCCAACCTACAGCAAGACCCGGGGGAGGACGGAGAACAGAGGTTTCCAATCCGTCCTACTCCCAGAACTTTTCAGGATATCAGGTTTGTGGTAATTTAAGATCAATGTTTTTTTTAAGAGTATTTCAACCCTCTATGCAAAGAAGGCACCTTTAAACAAATTTGTCTAATCAAGTATGAATAAGATATTCATGTTTTTTAACTGATTATTTTCAATTTCGGTTTTCTCTGCAAAAGTGAATTTCGTATTTCTTACATATAAACAATGGAGGAATGTACAGAAATAAATACGTTCAGGCATTTTTATTCAGATTAAGGTTTCAAGGGTACCGATGTAAAAATGGCAGTGCTATCTTTGCAATTACGCTTTAAACACTTTGAAAAGTGATGATTTGGTCGTGGTCATATCAAAGGTAGATATTCGATTTGGCTAAATATATTACAAGTTCATAAAGTATATGTTTAACATATAATCCACATATTTCTCATCCGACATCTATCATTCCTAAGATCATTTCTCAGAATTATTTCACGGATTTCATGACTGGAAACATGTGAAGTGTGTGTCATCGCAAAAATGTATCCAATTTTTAGAGGATTCGCATGAACAGATTTCAACCATTTAGCAAATATTTGACATTGTCATCCTTGCAACTTATGCAAAGGGGGATACAACACAAAACATGATGTTTTAGAACATTTTTAATTTTTGATTTCACGTTTAGATATTAGAAAATATTATTGTCATTAATTTTGTAAAGAATAGATTTATGAGATTTCTCTGACAGTGAATGATATTGCGTGACAGGGTTGGTTGTCAAATCTCTATTGTGTTTCTCAGGGTATAGTTTAGAATAGGAATATATGGTTTGATGATAGGGTCGGGGAGAACACCTTGAGAAATTTATAGAATCATCCCTGAATATTCATTTAATCTTCAAGGATTTTTAAAAAAGGATGATTTTTGAATATAATAAGCCGGGCCCCGGGGATAAACTCTAAATATCTATATTAGCATAGTATTTTTATTCATAGAATACAAAATATTAGAGTTATGAACTTAATTACTTAACAATCAAAACCAATACACAATACATGACTGGTAGGTTGCTTGCGTGCTTTTTTTGAAGAAAACCAAACAATTGTTGACAGTTCAAGAAACTTATATTTTCATTTCTAGATTTCCTGAAAGGTTCCACCAAAAAAATCCAGGACCCGGTCGTTTTGGCGTTTTTTCGATTATTAAACATAAATTATTATACTTATACAAAGGTTCCATTGTTTAACCCCTGAGCTCCCCCTACTGTGAAGAATCTAATTATATTGTTCTATTCTGCGGACAAGATAATAAGGGTTTAAAATCTGCTCATCATCTAATCATCTAATTAGTAGATCTGACCCAACCCGAGAGCATGGTTTAGGTTCACCTCTCTCTATGCTCCGGGGTTGGAAAATGAACGATGACAGAAACGTTTGTATAATATTTCATTCTTGTTCCTCTCTTCCTTGCCAAAACCTGATGGTGTGTATATTTTAGTAAACAGACTTGATGTATCACCAGGAATATATTGATTTTTAGTCGTTCCTTGACTCTCTTTCTTGTATATTTAAACAACACATGTTTTTTTGATTGGTAAAAACAAACTAAGAGACATACATTATGTTTGTGTTTGTGTTTAAAAACTTTAAAAGGAATTAAAAACTTTAGACACAAACTATAATTTTATAATCCCTATATCTGTGCAACCTGATGGTGTTAACCTTGAATATTTTATTGTATGCATACGGTGAAACGGAACAGTACACCAAATAAATCAATTCCTTTTTGCGAATACATTGATATAGATCTATACCATTAGTTTGGAAAGATAAAAGTGTTAGACAAATATTTCAAAATATTTCCGAGGATTTTAACAATACATTTTTGCCTAGGTCGTCTGTTGAAAGTGTAACTGAAGCGTCCAGTTCATTCCAGGCAACTTTATAGACTTTTACATATTCTAGGGTTAAATTTTTACATGCTACCAAATAGATTCTAGTACAATAGATGGCAACGTAGAATTTTTACACTCTTAGTACAGCTGTCTTCTGACGTCACAAGTGTCAACTCAGTTTTTGTGTCCGACAAAATTATTAATAATAATGACAATTTTAGATTTTAGTGCTTCTCTTATAAAATTTTATGTCATCTTTGTTTTCTTTCCACTTTTTTATTTAATCTTGAAAAATTTGAGAAAATTTCCTTTTCCTTGTTATCTTTGACACTTGTGACGTCGTGTACAATTGGTCCCTTTCTCTGTTGCCACCTATTGTATACCTAATAATCTATTTGCATGGTACAGTCGATGGGGAATGATGTCAAAGGAGGATGTAAGCAAAAAAAGGGAGGGGAGGGGGGAGCTGTATATTTTTTTTAAGAGTTCCAACGACAATTATAATGTTTAGACAGGTTTTTCTATATTCTTTTATTTTAAATTTAACTTTCTTAATTCCGAACAAAGCAAGGGTTTAAATTAATTAAAATCTCATGGAAATTTAAATATACTTAACCCATTTTTACTTTTACTTTTCTCGAAAAATTAAAAGGGGTTTATTTGTAAAATTAAGTTGAATTCGAAATCGTTAATACAAGTCAATTCCAAATCTTTAAAAAAATAAATATTTCTTTTGTCCCATCCAAAAAAAAAGAATAGAATTTTAATTAGAATGTATGAATTAAAGTATTTGTATTCCAAAGCAAAACTTTGAAAATTAAGATTAAATCCTGATTAAGCTACATCTCCTTTCTTTGTGAAACCTCCCTTTAATCTCCTAATTATCTTGAATAGGATTTGAGACGAATGCTGGAATCCGTCACTGAGATTCTTCTCCTCGACCGTGGTGGAGAGGACGAGCTGGACTATTACGATTACTACGAGGACCGAAGACGAGTTTAAAACTCGGACGATTTCAGTGAGAATCAAGCAAAATCGTCCGTGAGGAACGATCAGTGTGAATTCGAGAGAGACGGTGATCCTATTAAGTTGATCTAGTCAAAAGTGAAGGATTTTGCAGATTTAGTTCCTTTTAGAGAATATTTTAGTCCAATGCCTCCTTTCAAATTCGACCAAAATCCGCCCTCCCCCTGATATCTTTAAAAATATCCCTAAATTCCCCCCCCCCCCTGCCTTATCCGTCCATATCTAAGGTTTGCGCCTGCTTAGGTTTCTTCAAAATACAACTGAATACATATATATCATGTATCAAGGTTTGGGATATTCAAATATTCAAAGATTTGGTCATAAGATTTGGTCATATGTCCTATGGAAGACCCATATCACGGGGTGGGGGGGGGGGGATTGGGGGATTTGAAGAAATGTCTGAGGTCGAATAAAGATTTTAAAGTTTATAAATCTGAATAAAAACTCTCAATAAAACCCTCTATTGTAAATAAATCTCAAAAACTGCAAGCCTACCCTCGTAAGAGGTATTTGTAACATATATTTATCATTCATGCATTTTTTAATATCACTCTTTGATACTTTGGTAAGCAAAGCTTTAATATATTTGTGAGTTATATTTGTGAGTTTAGCTTTATGTTTGCTGGCAAGATTGGATGGGAAATGTTTTTAAAGGGACCGTATGGTTAATTGAAAGTAACGTATCAGATTCACAATAGTACCCTTACTTAGTACTTATCCTTGTTAATCTACAAGAACGCTAGTAATTGCTTGGAGGGTCACTTGAAATTACGCTTACAGTCCCTTTAAACATTCAAGGTATTTTTTCTATAAAGAGGCAGTACACAAATCTGAGATGCTTATGTTACATTTCGTGACTGTCTGACTAAAGAAATAAACGATTGGTAAAATCGTTATGATAATTGACTTTTTTAATATCCCTGATCAGACAAAAAATATAAAATAATAGTAAAAGCAAACGAATATAAAATACATTTAACATCTAAGATTGTTGGGGACCTTTTTAAAGTATAAAAATCTTGAATATTTGAAACAAGCCAAAAAACATATCCCATCTCTACTAATAAATCAGTTTAACTATAATAGTGCCATAAACTTAGAAGTTATGGAAACCTAAATCATATAATTCGAGGCATTAAATATTTTTACAAAACAACCTTAAAAAAATGGCTTTTTTAAAAACCATTTTTAGATTTTGATGTTGTTATGCTAAATTGGTCTATTATTGCAAAAAGTTCTTCTTTTGTCTAACGTTTTTTATGTGCAAAAATAATGAGTTTACTGGATTATTTGCACGTGCAAAACACTTCATATCTAAATCTTTTCAATTTAGAATATTGCAAGGTGACGAAATTAAGATTGTTTTAACATTTAGTATTTAAAGATTTTGTTATGGCTCTAGTTTAAATAGCTTGTGTACAAATGTAAACAGCTTTTTTCTTGCTTCATCAGAAACATCTGTACTGGACATTCACCGTTAATTGGCACATTTTATGTAAACTAGACAGCTATGTAAATTAGGCCATCCTTTATATATTTTAACCCCCATTTATTTGGGACACCCTTAAAGAAAACATATTTTGAAATAATTTGTTCTTTTTTACATTGGTACATATTGTAGATTGAAAATATTGATAAGATGTTGACAACTTAAATCTTGTATATGCAAATGTGGTTAATTGTTCTTTCTGTTTGTTGACAATAAACTTTTTTTAATCAAAGATATAATTTTTTTTATTGGTGTTAACTGGTGACTGGTGGAAGTCCAAAGCTCTTGCACCTAACAGCAGGATTTAAGGTTTACACTGAACTAGAAAGAAGGAAAAGGTCAAATTTATGGGATAATCTAATACTAATTGGCAAACCTAGTAGCTTCTCTTATTTTAATTTTAAGCACAGCAAAAATATCTGGTTACATTTAGCAACTTATCTCAATAATTCTTCAATAAAAAAGTTCTGAATATAAACATATATGATTTTAATCAAACATACAATTCACTTTAGCTTGACGTTGTGTGTTAAATATTTCTTTAAAAAGTTTTCAAAGCTTTGGGAAATAAGGAAAGATTTTAATGTAACTTGCAGGTTTCCATCTAAGCTTGTCACAAAACTTACATTGTCTAATATTTCACTTCACATTACAGTAGTTTTTTAACTAAGATTGTTAAACATTTTTCTGGTTTTATATTATAACTCATCTTTTTCAGGTGTGTTGATATTTTTATTTATTTGAATTTCTATAAATATGCATCAAAAGTAGAGTAAAGCTACTGGTAGGGTTTCCATTTGCAAAACTTTTGCGCAATTTTTGCGGAACGAAACGTAAGTTTTTCTTTCTTTGCGCATCAGTTTTGCGCAAAAAAAAACAACAATTTGCGCAATCATTCGCAAAAGTGATTTCGCGCAAAATTGCCCTATTCCGCTTTTCCGAAACTCAAGTTTTGCGTAACTCCGCAATTTCGTAAAAATCAAACGGTTGGTGACGACGTGTGTGTTTCTTAGAATTCAATTCTGGAAAAATCTTGCTTTCGAATGTCTTCCTATTGGTCACTTTTAATAATTGACCAATGACAGTTAAAAAGAGTTCAAATCTCACAATTTTCTCGACAATTTTAGTTTTGGACCTGCATATTTCCTAAAAGTGGATTCTTCAGGCATTGGTTACTTTCTTGCATTATTTTATATGATTATTTTTTTTTGTTTAAAAAAAACTAAAGGTTTAACATCTATTATATTTTTAAAACATTTCCAAAGCAGGAGGAATTTATAAAATGCTAATGGTTCTCGTCGTGTCATCCCCGTTTGGATATATTTGGCCGTATAACTATATGCAAGGTGGCCCAATAAACATTGGAGTCATTGAAACATTGATTTATATGATAAATGACAAAGATTATAAATCTTTTTCGTATCTTAAAAATTGACGGAGTAATTAATATTTGAATAATTTTGTTATTTTCAATTTAAATCTGTCCAGACTCGTCACATAATAACCATGTTTATTGGAACCCACTGTAAGTTATTGCATGAGCAAAATCCATTTCTTCTCACTCAAACCTTAGTCAAGACTTGAAGGAAATTAAAGAATGATGCGAGAAAGGGCATCATGAACTTTTCAAGGATTTTCAACAAAAATGGTGAACTCATAATCATCAGTTTTCTCAACCCTATCCGTATACCATGTACTAAACGGGTCAAGATCTTCAAAGGAATTGATCCTTTTCAACAAAAAAAAACTCTGATTTTATTATTACTATATCTTTGCAACCAAATTTCATAGCTATTAGCTATTTCAAATGATGTAGTTCAGTAGACTATCCTCTACCTTATACCTCTACCATCTCTTCCGTCGCGGTATACAACCCTATTTAAAGTTTTGAATATATAGTTCAGAAAAGTAATAATAGTTAATAGTTGAAATATCAAAGGTTAACACCATCAGGTTGCAGAGAAGTAGGAATTAGAAAATCAGAGTTTGTAACAAAGACTCAATTCCTTTTATTCCAAGGATTGACTACAAACAGAAGAGTGAACGACAAAAGTTAAAGTGAGATGATTTATATAATAGGTTTTATTTTCAACGGATAATATTTCTTAACAGGGATTTACAGAATTTTCATCAACGGTACTCAAAACAGCTTTCTCAGAATGAATAAGCTTTCCAAATTTTTATTTTTTAAAATAAAGGTTTGATTTGGTGGAAATTGTTAAGTTATAAACTACAATATCTTCAACATTATTGATTAAGAAATGGATTGAGTTGCATGTACTAGTCAGAAAAAATTAAATCTTTCGTTAACATATTGAATTCAGCATTAAAAGCAGAAAAATCTACGAAACTTTACATTTTAATGTTTTCATAATGTATGATAAAAAAAAGATAAATATTTATTAATTTTGTAAAATGATTAATTTTAATCGAGGTTTCTCTATAAAAGAGACTTGCTCATTTCTACTGCAGGAAAATGGAATTATCTTTTAAACCAAATAATAGAACATTCACCACATTAGTTTCAAGGGTACCGTTGTGAATCGGACATTGCCATCTTTACATGGGGTGCCCTTCGAATTTTCGCCTCGTGTTTATAAATCCTCTTTGAGTTTAATTGAACGTATGAAAATATTTTCTTATCGAGACCTGTTCGAATTTAAAGAATTAGGCTTTTAGGGCGCTTCGCGCCCATCCTCTATTTCAACTTTTTAATTGTAGCTTTATNGCTTAAAATGTTTTGTCATGCAGTTAAATCAGAAATCCTAGACCCAGAGAATAGAAATAAAATCAGACCTAACCTACCTCCTGGAGAATTAAAAGCTCTTAAAGAGTTGATCAGTCTTCAGAGAAACCGGGTGATCACTATAAAACCTTGTGATAAGGGTGCAGGAATCATAATTCTGAAGTTTGAGAGTTATATGGAATCCTGTCTGAACGAACTTTCTAACCAACAACTGCAAGAGAATGGAACACTAAATCCGTACTATGTACAAGTTGAAGAGAAGGAAGTTGAAGAAACAAAGAAACAGATAAAGTCTGTTTTAGATACTGCAGCTGATAAGAATTTCATCACAGCTGAAGAACTTAAAGCTATGCTGGCTGATGACAAGAATCCAGCAAAGTTTTATCAGCTGTTCAAAGTACATAAAACTCACATTCCAGGAGATACTCCACCAAGTAGGCCTGTTATCAGCGGCTCAGGAAGTTACAAAGATAATATAAGTTTATTTGTGGACAGTTTTCTGAAACCCTTTCCAACGTACACCCATCTTATCTTCAGGATACTCCAGATCTTTTTAGAAGTATTGAAGAAATTAACAACGATGATTTACCAGCCAACTCTATTCTATTCTCTGTAGCTGTTACAGGATTGTACACAAATATACCTCAGGATGATGGTCTAGAATTATGTAGAGAAGCTCTTGAAAGCAGAACTGATAAATTTGTACCTACGTCATTTTTGATTGAGCTGCTAAACTTTTGTTTGAAAAATAACATATTTGAATTTGGTGGTAAACTGTACAAACAATTGATAGGAACAGCAATGGGAATACATCCTATGCAAACATCCAGCCCCTTCCTATGCAAACATTTTTATGGCTAAGCTTGATGATCAAATTGTGAAACTTGAAAATACTTACAAAATAACTGATGAGTGGCCCCTGAAGACCTGGAAAAGATTTCTGGATGATTGTTTTGGAATCTGGATAGATTCTATTGATAAAGGAATTGAGTCTTTGCCACAAACTCTGATTATCTAATCCCTATATCTTTTGAACCCAATGTCTTATACGTTTGATATTTCAAACTATGAATTCTGTTAAATAAAATAATATAAGTTTGAAATATCAAAGGTTTATACTATCAAGTTACTTAGATATAGGTTTTAGATAACTTGAGGTTGTGGCAAAAACTCAATTCCTTATATCAATTCCTGGATGATATCAATAAAATTCATCCTACAATCAAGTTTACTCTAGAACACAGTTCTCAATTTTATTGTGGTTTAAAGGATGAACATGACTGTTGGTGCCACAGAACAAAAAGTATTCCATTCCTTGACACAAAACTGTATAATGAAGATGGAAAAATCACAACAGATCTCTACAGAAAACCCACAGATAGATGTATGTATCTACTTCTAACATCTTGCTACCCAGCACATATTTCTAACAACATACCTTATTCACTTACATACAGAATTGTACGAATTTGCAGAAAACCAGAACTTAGGGATGCACAATTCTTAAAAACAAAGGGATTTTCTTCTCAGCAGGGATTACAATTCTTCAATTGTTGACTCTGCTATAGTCCGAGCAAAAGCTATACCTAGAGAAGTTGTTTTAAAGAAAGTGGAGAAAAAGAAGAAACCAGATCGAGTTATAATCTCTATCTCATTTAATCCCCAGCTGCCTTGTATCTCCTCAATCATACAGAAACATAACCATGGTCCAGTTTCCTTGGATGAAGGAGGTTTTTCAAAATCCACTTATGGTTACCTATAGGAGACCTCCTAATCTCAGGGATAAACTCATCCGAGCCAGAATTCCAGATCCTCCTAGAATGAGGCCAAAGAGGCTAATACCTGGTATGAAACCTTGTGGTTTAAATTGCCCAACTTGTCCCTACATAGAGCCTGGAACAGTTATACAATCCTCTAATACCAGCAAGAAGATTGAGATTAATGGAACTTTCAACTGTAAGACCAGAAATGTAGTTTACTGTATAACATGTGAACACTGTAAACTACAATATATAGGACAGACAACAAGATCTTTAGATGAAAGAGTGAGAGAACATATTGGTTACATTAGAAATCTCCATACAAACCAGCCTACAGGAGAACATTTTAACCTTCCTGGACATGAACTCTACCATCTAAAAGTTAGCGTTCTAGAGAAGGTTTGGGACCACGGAAGAAGTTTACTTGAAGTACGAGAATCTAAATACATCAGAGATTTTATGACTGAACTCAGAGGAATGAANTATAAACCTATACATATTTTGTAATCAATATAAATCTATACATATTTTGTAATCAATATAAACCTATACATATTTTGTAATCAATATAAATCTATACATATTTTGCAATCAATGGCGAAAAAACTGTTTAGCTAATTGTAAACATTGCAAATCATGATTCCAACCATTGTTTAGATAAATATGAAAATAATGCATATGATTCACTTTTAAAGGGACTGTAGGCTAAAATATCCCTGT